GCTTATGCTCTAATAAATTTGTTAGTCTCTAAGGTGCCACAAGTCCTCCTGTTCTCTTTTTGCGGATACAGACTAACACGGCTGCTACTCTGAAACCTTTGATTGCTTTAGGTACATTCACAGATGCACAAAATACAAATAAATAAAACTGTAGATATGGACCATATTACCTTTTCTTCACTGTCCTATATCCACTTAAATTGAAACTCCCCCCCAATGGAAAAACCTGTGAGAACAAATCTTGGCAACTTGCCTGACAGTCTATTAATCTGGGTTATTACAGACCATCGTGGGGGGAGGGAATTCTAGAATCAAGGACTCCCAAGATACTTTCTGCAGCCCTTTCTTGTTTAAACCTGGGAAGTGAGAGTTACTCATCCTGTGCAGTAACTGAGGTTCTTTGAGATGTGCTTCCCTCTGGGTGCTCCACCTTAGGTGCGCTTGCGTCTGTGTCTAGGATTGAAGCTCGGTAGCAGTGCCTGTTGGATCGCATGTGCGCTCCTCCCCATCTCACCTCATGAGCAGCGGGTATATAGCACTTAGCAGTCCAACCACCCGCATGCAGTTCCTTCTCTACCGCAGAGTTAATGCTTCAACTCCTAAGGACGGGGGAAGAGGGCTGGTAGTGGAGCACCCACAGGGGGACACATCTTGAAGAATCTCAGTTGCTACACAGGGTGAATAACCTTCCCCTTCTTCTTCAAGTAGTCTCCCTGTGAGTGCTCCAATTTAGGTGACTGTAGAGCAGTGCCCTTAGTTACTAGGCTGGGGCTTTGGAGTTGGATTTGTTTAAGAGGATAGGTCAGTCTGTCCTAGTATAGTATCTGATGCCAAGTCCTGGGTGATCGTGTAATATTGTATGAATGCATCCGTTGACATCCAGGTAGCTGCTTTACAAATGTCCATAACTTGCACACTGTTCAGGAAGGTTATCGAAGTGGAAAGCAACTGAGTAGAATAGGTTTGAGTTCCTAGCGGTGGTTGTAGATTATGTTGCTGGTAGCAAAGATGAATGCATTCTGAAATCTATATTGAGAGCGTTTGTTTGGATATGGCAGACCCTCTTGATCTTTCTGCAAAAGACAGGCATAATCCTGGTGATTTTCTGAACAGTTTAGTTCTTTCAAGAAAAAAAGGCCAGCGCCCTTCTAATATTTAAGGTATGTGATGTGGCTTCTTGCTGTTTTGCCATGTAGTTTAGGGAAGAAATATTGACGGTGACTATGTTCGTTCAGATGAAACAATGACGATACTTTATGAGCACACCCAAAGTTGCAACCCAA